AGAAGAAGAAGAAGAAGAAGAAGAAGAAGAAGAAGAAGAAGAAGAAGAAGAAGAAGAAGAAAAGGAAGAGGAGGAGGAGGGGGAGGAGGAAGAGGAGGAGAATATAGCAGACCCTATGAATACCCCAGGGTCAAGAGGGCCAATGATACGTGTTGGTATGCAGGCATTTGAACAACTATGAAAGAAAGTACAAATGATGGAAGAAACAACAGAACCCATTAAGGAAGCAAATATTCTGTGGATAGGGGGCCAGAAGAAATGTATCAATAAGGAAGGCTTTGAACAACTACAGATGAAAATGCAAAACATGGAAGAAAATATTGATAGTATAGATATAGAGGTACAAAAACTTAATATACCATCACAAAATAGAGAGGGTATAGTCAACACAATACTGGAAATAACAGAAATGTATGAAAATGCAATCCAGAATATTAAGACCAAAATATTGCTGTTGTTATTGTTGTTGATGGCTTTCTAGCAGAGCATGACTCATAGCAAACCTATGAACAAAAGACTTGAAGCCCCTCTACAACTATTGACATTTATCAAAGTTCATAGAATTTCTGGAAGCATGTTATATGGCACTCCTGCTTCCAAAAAGACCAAAATAGCAGGGACAAAAAAAAGTAAAAGAGAAGAGATGAAAGAGAAAAGCTGGAAGACTGGAACTTCAACATACTAGAAGTAAAATAACAGATGAGACAAAAAGAAAATGAAGAAAACATTACAATCATGTGGGATGACATCGAAAGGAACACATACATATGACTGAAATTCTAGAATACAAGAGGGAAAGGGAAATCACTGAAAAAATTGTGGAAGAGGTACTAAAAGAAAACTTACCAGGTATTATGAAGAAAGAAGAAATACCCATACAAGGTCAGTCTAGAAGACTAGAACCAAAAAGAAAACCATCAAGATATATCATAGTCAAATTCTCCAAAATAAAAGATAATGATAAAATACTAAATGCACCATGAGAAAAACAAAGAGTCACATACAAAGAAAATGAATTAGATTAAGTTCTGATATCTCAACAGAAACCATGCAAGCAAGAAAACAATGGGATGGAATATACAAAAAGTTGAAAGAAAAAAAAAAATACCAGCCAAGGATACTGTATCCAGCAAATATTCCCACCAAATACGAAAGAGAAATTAGATCCTTTGCAGAAAAGAAGGAATTTGAGAAAACAAAACTAAACCTACAAGAAATTTAAAGGGAAGTCATTAACCCAGAGATACCAAAGAAATATGGATAAACCATCAGAAAGAAAAAAAAAAAAGAAAAGAAAGAAACCAAACAAAATGTCAATAATAAAACCTGGCATGTCAATTATCACACCTAATGTGAATGGATTACATATACCAATTAAAGGGAAAAGAATAGCAGAATGAATTTTTTTTAAAAAAGGCCATCAACTAAGAAACCATGAGAAAGACTGACTCAAAATGAAAGGTTGGAGTCGGGGAGAATATACCAAAACAAATGGCATCCACATAAAATCAGGCATGACAATAATAATTCTTGGTAAAATAAACTTCAGAATGAAAACTATCATAAAAGATAAGGAAAGGCATTATATAATTATTAAAGGCACAGTAGATAAAAAAGTTGAAATATGTCAGTTGATACACCATCAATTCCTGGGTCCTTATACTTAGCCAATTCTTTCAAAGCAGTTTGAACTTCTTCATCACCACAGGCTCTTGCTCGTATGTTGTTTCATGAAATTCTTGTGTCTGCCAATTCTTTTTGGTATAATGACTATATACTCTTTCCATCTTCTTTTAATACGACCAAGATCACTTAATATTTTGCCCAAAGCATCCTTAAGTATTAAAACTTGAGGCTTGAATTTCTTCTTTAGTTTTTTGAGTTTATGAAATGTTGAGTGAGTTCAGCCCTTTTGATTTTCTGCCTCCAGCTCTTTGAACATTTCAATACAATACTCTGTCTTCCCACTCTGCCTTTTAAATTCTTCTGTTCAGCTCCTTAATGTCTTTATTTCTTCCCTCTGCTTTGGTTTCTCGGCGTTCTAGTGCAATATTCAGAGTCTCTTCTGACATCTATTTTGGTCTTTTCTTTCTCCTCTGTCATTGTAACGACCTTTTGCACTCTTCCTGGATGATATTCTTGATATCATCCCATAACTCATCCAGTCTTTGCTCACTAGTGTCCAAGGCCTCAAACCTGTTTCCTGAGATGATTCTGAAATTAAGGTGGTATGGACTCAAGGTCTTATTTTTGCTTCCCTGGACTTGATTTCACTTTCCTTTGCTTCAGCTTGGACTTGTATATGAGTAGTTGGTGGTCTGTTCTACAATCAGCACCTGGCCTAGTTTTCACAGCTGATATTGAGCTTCTCCAGCGGCTCTTTCCACAGATGTAATCTATCTGATTCCTAAGCATACCATCAGGTGAAATCCATGTCTGTAAACTGTGTTTATGTTTCTTATAAAATGTATTTGCAACAAATAAATGGTTAATTGTGCAAAATTCTATCATCCTATCTCCAGCTTCATTTCTGTCACCTAGTCCATGCTTTCCAATTACTGATCCTTCTTCTCTGTTCCCAACTTTTGCATTCCATTCACCCATTATTATTAATGCATCTTGACTACATGTTCAATAGATCTCTGACTGCAAAAGTTGGTAGAAATCTTGTATTTCCTCTTCTTTGGCTCTGGTTGTTGGTGCATATATTTAAATGATAATGATATTCACTGGACTTCCTTGTATGCATATGAATATTATTCTGTCACTCACAATATTGTATTTCAAGATGCGTCTAGAAATGACTTTTTTAACTATGACAGCAACCCCATTTTTCCTCATCTTTTCATCTCCAGCACAGTAGATCATATGATCATCTGATTCAAAATCTCCCATGCCAGTCCAGCTCATCTCGCCAATACCTAGTATGTCAATATTAATGAGTTCTATTTCTTCCTTAACAATATCTAATTTTCCTACATTCATAGTTTTCACATTCCATGTTCCAACCATGTCTACTTAAAACTGTTCCTTAGTATTTCCATACTTGAAAGCTCCACCTCTGTTGCCCTATCTGCTATCTAAGTGTGTTCCATTGTACATAGGGTTTTCAAAGGTCTTCTATTTCAGAAGTGTATGGCTAATCCTTCTTCCTAGTCTGTCTTAGTCTGAATGCTCAGATTTAGAAAAGTATCTTACAGACAAGCATTTTACAGGAAAATGCGGATGATATTATTTCTCAATTGTAGAAATAGCCAGTAGTTTCAGTGTTGTCCCTGACCTTGACACAAGTGTCTTGACCCACCTATTTCCCTGCTCCACCAGCATCCCCTTCCACTCCCACCTACTCCCTTCAACACTTATCTTCCATTCCTTGATCTGATAGCTTATTTCTCAAGCTTTATGGGCTTCTGTTATTTTTAATGCCTCAAGCTGCTGCCAATTTTTTTATGCTGTGGTTGGTGTCTCTTGAGTTTAGGGGTCTATAAGTCCATATACAAAGTACTAATGTTAGGGAAGGCTTCTTATTTCAGATGGTTCTGAAGAAAAGTCCTTTTCTTTTAATTTCTTCTCCAGGTTTAACTTCTTGTGGTTTCGGGCCTATTCCCTTCCATTTACAGCACACTGTAGTCACAATGTTTGCCAAGGGGGGGGTGATCTGCCCTGTAGAACTGGTATATAGTGTTGTTTTTCTGGCCTGAGGGCCTCAGGCCCAAAGTAATGGGGATAGGTGTGTCAGAGACAATGAGATTGGCACAGGATAGAGCAGGGTTTAGGGCTGTTGTATGGAGGGTCACTATGAGTCAGAGATGACTTGACGACACATAACAACAACAATATCAAGAAGATATAACATTGGCCAACATCAATGCATCAAATGATAGACCTGCAAAATACATAAAATAATTGCTAACAGTATTGAAGAAAGAAATAGACAGTACCACAATAGTGGTAGGAGACATTAAAATACCACTCTCACCAAAGGGCAGGTCAATTCAAAAGAAACTTTAAAAGGATGCAAAAGACTTAAACTACACAGGAAGCCAGCCAGCTTGACCTTGTAGTTGTAGTTGGAGGATTGCACCCAACTAAAACTCAATCCACTTTCTTCTCAAGTGCACATAGTACATTCTCCAGGATTGATCATATATTAGGACACAAACCAAGCCTCTTGGTATATTTTTTCCAGTCTTTGATTTTGAGACGATCTTTCTCTTCTTCTTTTAGATGTGTCTCCTATAGACAACATATTAATAGGCTTTGATTTTTTTTATCCATTCTGCTACTCTTTTCCTCTGAATTGGTGCATTTAGTCCATTCACATTAAGTGTGATTATTGTCAGGCCAGTTTTTACTTTCACCCTTTGTCATGTTTCTTTTTCTGTTGTTTCTGGTTAGTTATTATGGTCCATATACTTTCATTTGACATCTCCTTTTTTTTAATCTTATTAACATTTATTTATCTTTCCTCAGTCAAACCCTGAGCCAATCACTTTCCCCAGGCTTCCTGGGGAGTTACAGGGAAAGGAACACAGGGTAGACAAGACATGGGGAGAGAAAACCAACAAACTATGAGAGATAGAGATGGCTCCTTCACATGGCGAAGAGGATCAGAAAGGCCACCATCAGGCAAAAGAGCCCCATGGCCTCTGAGAGGGCAAAGCCCAGAATGGCATAGGAGAAGAGTTGCTGCTTCAGAGAAGGATTCCTGGCATAACCAATGATGAGGCTCCCAAACACAGTCCCAATCCCAGCTCCAGAGGCAGCCACTCCAACCATGGCAGCCCCAGCCCCAATGAACTTGGCTGCTGTGTCAATATCCCTTGAAACAGTGCTGGTTTGGAAGTTGCGACTAGGGACAAATGAAATCAAGGCACATGGGGCTGTCAAGCAGCTGAAATTCTCATCTCTCAGTGTCTCTGGTTGTTTCAGGACCACTGCAGACAATGGACGGCTCAGCAGCTGAGAGGCACTCCTGACCAGGGAAGGGGTAGAGACAAACTTGGTGCAGGTATACATTTTCAGGGGATGAGGGGCTGTGGCAGGAAAGCTGCTCCTACTGCAGAGAAGACAGAGAAGGGAGGGGGCAGCAGGGACAGCAGGAGGGAAGACTCTGACATCTCCTTTTAAAAGACTCCCTACTTGTAAGGAAGACCCTAAATGAGATATATTGACAAACTACCTGGAGTAATAAGAAGTTGATATGTCCCAGACAGTGAGATTGGCTCAAGATAAGACAGATTTCACAGCTATAATGCACATTGTCATTATGAGCCAGAAGCTACTTGATGGCACAGAACAACAACAGAACAAGACAGGGCTACAGAAGAAATATAAAATTAAACAAAAAAGTGTCTCACAATAAATGATAATGAAAATACAACATACCAAACCTTCTAGGATTCAGCTAAAGCTGTTAGGGGACAGTTCATGGCAGTAGGCAAACACATAAAAAAGGAAGAAGCTAAATTAATGATATAACTCATTATCTTCATTAAATATAAAAATAGAAACAATTTAAAATTCAAAGCCTTTGGGAAAAAGGAATATGTAAGGACAAGAGCTGAAATCAATAAGATAGAAAACAGAAAAGCAATTGAAACAATCAATAAGAAAAAGAGCTGGTTTCTCAAAAGGGTCAATAAAATTGACAAACCACTAGCAAACTCAACAAAACAAATAAACACACAAAAAAACAGAGAGAGACAGATAACTAGATTAAAAAATGAAAGAGGTGACATCACAACACAATCAGATGAAATTAAATTGATAATATAAGAATACTAAGAAAAGTTATACTCTGATAAATTTGAAAACCTAGAGGAAATGCACAAATTCCTTGAAACTCATGCCCTACCCAGATTGACAAGGACAGATATAGAATACTTGAACAGACCCATCACAAAAAAAAAAGAAATTGAATTATCTTCCACATAAGAGAAGGCCTAGATCAGATGGTTTCACAGCTGAATTTTATCAATTCAACTGAAATTATTTCAAAAAGCTGAAAAAGAGGAATACTTCCAGAGACATTCTATGAAACAAGCTACCAAACCTACTACCAAAACCAGGCAAAGATATTACCAAGAAAGGAAACTGCAGAACAATATTCCTCAGAATTATAGATGCAAAAATTCTTAGCAAAATCCTAGCCAATAGAATGCAAAAGCACGTCAAAAAATAATTCCTCATGACTTAGTGGGATTCATAATAGGTATGCAAGGATAGTCCAACATAAGAAATAAATTCAATGCAATTTACCATATTAATAAAGTAAATAACAAGAACCATATGCTCTTAGCAATTGATGCAGAAAAGGCATTTAAAAAAATCCAATATCCCTACCTGATAAAGACATACAGCAAAATTAGAATAGAAAGGAATTTCCTCAACTGAGGGGTAGGTTATATGCAACACCAGGAACCAACCACATTCTCAGTGGAGAAAGACTAAAAGAACCTTCCTTGCAAATAAAGACCAGATAAGAAAGCCCATTGTCACCATTTCTCTTCAATATTTCACTGGAAGTGCTTTCTAGGGCAATGCAAGAGAAGGAAATAAAAGACATCCAGAATGGCAAAGAGATGGTTAAGTTGTCACTATATGCAGATGATATGATAGTATACACAGAAAACCCCAAAATAAATAAAAAAAAACTGTTGGAGTTTGACTGAATCCAGCCGGTCAAGAAAAATAGGGTTAGGATGACAAGGAGCATGGATTAAAGAAATATAATACACAAGAGAAAGAGTTAGGAGAGGCATACAGAAAAATTTCTGTAGCCCTGGGATTATTTTTTCCAGTCTTTTTATCCTTATTGCAGTGAACAGAAAAACAATTCAGCCTCAAGGTTGACAGTACATTCAGATTTATGAGCCACCTGCTAGAAAGGCCGTTTGCTCTTCTAATTAGCAAGCAAGGCCATCAGAATTGAAGTATAAACAGAGTCTTCAGGGAGGGACATACCATTCTGCACATCCCTGCTTGGCCTTGGGGTTCAAGGAACAGCTAAACTTGTTTTTGCTTCTCTTCAAACATCTTCACATTTGAACCTGACACAAAATGAAGATTTGCAGAATATGGCTACAAGAGTTAGTAGACCAATTTAGTAGAGTGGCAGGATATTAGGTTAATATACAAAAATCAGTGGGATTCCTCTACAGTAACAAAGAGAACTCAAAGAAGGAAATCCATAAAGAAATATCATTTACAATAGCCAACCACAAGCTAAAATACTTGGGAGTGAACCTAACTAGAGATACAAAAGACTTATAAAAACAAAACTACAGAATATTTCTACAAGGCACCATAAAAGACATAAAGAAATTAAAAAAAGAAATGAATAGTGCAACAATGAATGAATGGAAACCCAAAATCTCTGTAAATGTTTATGAAAATTAATAAAATATAATTATAGAAAAAAAAGAAAAGAAAAAAAAAGAAATGTGCCCTGTTCATGGATAGGAAGACTCAGTACTGTGAAAATGACAGTCCTACCAAAAGCAATCTACATGGTCAGTGCAATTCCAAAACAGATACCAAATTCCTTTTTCAAGGATATTGAAAGAGAAATTGTCAAGTTTATTTGGAGAGGAAAGAGAGGCCTTGAATAAGCAAAACACTTTTGAGAAACAAAAATAAATGGGAGGCACAGCACTCCCTGACCTTAAAACCTCCTACCCAGTGGCAATACCCAAAACAGCGTGATATTGGCACAATGATAGGCACATAGACCAAAGGAACAGAATTGAGAACCCAGAAATAGACCCAACTATCTGTGGTCAACTTTAATTAAAACCAGGCAAAGTTACTACCTAAAAAAAGGAAAACTACAGACCATTATTTCTCATGAAAACAGATACACAATCACTTAATAAAAATCCTAGCCAAATATGTTTACGGCATTGAAGTCTATGGGGGAGAGAATAGTTTAAAAGTATTATATTTTAGGGCATTATGTTTATCGTAGGAGTACACAATGAGGGTTGCAGAGTGGATTATATTTGGGGTTGGGGGTGGGGTGGGGGGAGGTGCGGGGGGATTGTGTACCAATGAGGGAGTTTTTCTTTTGCTTTTCAAGGAGAGGAGCAAAGGGGGGCGGAGGTCGGGTGGGCGGGGAGAAGGGTGCAACAATGAATGAATGGAATTCCAAAATCTCTGTAGATGTTCATTGAAATGAAAAATAAATAAATTTTTTAAAAAATCCTAGCCAAAAGAATCTATTAACACATTTTTAAAAAGTAATTCATCATGGCCAAGTGGGCTTGATAAGAGTCATGCATGGATGGCTGGATGGCTCAACATAAGAAAAATAATCAAATTTTAATTCACTATATTAACAAAGCAAATAATAAGAATGACATAACCATAGCAATGGATGAAAAAAAGACATTTAACAAAATCTAATACACATTTCTGATAAAGAAACTCAGCAAAATGGGAATAGAAAGGAATTTTCCAACAGAGGGAAAGTATATGTGCAAAACTAAGCCAATATTATTCTCAATAGAGAAGGATTAAAAGCTTTTTCCTTGTGAACAGAAATCAGACAAAAATGCTCACTGTCACTTCTATTCAATATTGTATTGGAAGTACTTGCTAGGGCAATACAAGAGAAGGAAATAAAAAGCATCCAGATCAGCAAAAAGATGATTAAACTATCACCATAAGCAGATGATATGACAATGTACACAGAAAATCCCAAGGACTCAACAAAAAAATCTGTTAGAGCCAGTAGACCAATTTAGTAGAGTAACAGGATACAAGATCAATATCCAAAAATCAGTGAGATTCCTCTACAGTAACAAAAAAAACCTCAGAGACAGAAACCAAGAAACAGTACCTTTACAATTTGAAATTAGAAATTACAACCACAAATTGAGATACTTGGGAGTGAATGTAACTAGAGAGAAAAAACGGTACAAAGTAAACTATGGAACATTTCTATGAGACACAAAAAAGATGTAAAAAATATTAAATATGTTTCTTGTTCATGGATAGGAGGACTCAATATTATGAAAATGACAATCCTACCAAAAACAATCCACCTGTTCAATGCAGTCCCAATAGAAATACCAAACTAATTTCAAAAAGAGATTGAAAAGGAAATTGTCAAGTTTATTTGGAGAGGAAAGAGACTCCAAATAAGCAAAACACCTTTGAAAAACAATAATGAAGCAGGAAGTATAGCACTCCCTACCTCAAAACCTATTACACCATGGTAGCAACCAAAACAGCGTGGTACTAGTACAATAAAAGGCATATAGATCAATGGAAGAGAATTGAGAACATAGAAATGGACCCATCTATCTATGATCAACTGATATTCAACAAGGAAATAAAACAAATAAAATGAGTAAATGACAAGCTCATCAACAAATGGTGCTAACAAAACTATAGAAAATTAAAAACGGATTAGCATCTCACACCATACAGAAAAATCAACTCAAGCTGGGTCAGACACCTGGAAGTAAAGACCAAAACTGTAAAGTTCATAAGAGACAAACTTGAATCAAGCTTAGAAAGCCTAGGGGAGATAGCAAGATCATGAAGGTGGTTTTCCCAGGAAGAGCTTTAACTATTGTCCTCTAGTTGTACTGACCCTTGCTATTTCCCCAAATGTGGGAAAGTTTTTGCATATTTTGTGGTAATGGGGGAATACATTGGCTTTTTACCCTAATATAAAAAGGACTAGTTTATGGTATAAAGAGAATGCTCAAAACAATGAGAAATGCATAATCTAGAGAGGATAAAATTGATGAATGAGATCTTCTAAAGATTAAATCTCTGTGTACATAAAAAAATTTTTCAACAAGGTGAAAATACACTACTGACTGGGAAAAACATTTGTCAATACCATATCAGACAAGAGTCTCATAAAAAAGTTTACAGAATATACCTGGGACTCCACAAAAAGAAAAAAATATTAATAATCCAAATATAAAATGGACAAAAAACAGCAAAGACTTTTTTTAAATGAACAATTACAGAGATTTTGGATTTCCATTCATTCATTATTGCACTTTTCTCCCTTCCCAGCCCTCCCCCCAGTTCTCTTCTCTATTTGAAAACTAAAAGAAAAATTT